GACCCAGCATATTTCCAACTCCGTTTTCCAGTCCTTTTATAGATAGACTCCTTTGAAGCAAGAGTGCACCACCAATTTTAGAATTAATTATAATCTCAGCCTCCCCAAATCTCCCTTTACAATATCACCCAATCCCAAAGTCTCCACAAAGTCTAAGGACAGCACATTCGCTCTATGGCATCACCTGGGGAGAGCAAACCTAGTCATTGGAGTCAGAGAAAATGTGGGGATCTGACTTGTCATAGCTGATTCTTGTATCACTGCTAGCACACCACCCAACCACATTTATTAAGAGTGAACTATGAGTGAATTGCCAAGTTTTAAAATGGGAGTGCTGGCTAAGGTGTTGATTGGTACACCCATATCAGAATGCCTGGTTTCCAGTTACAATTCTGCTCCAGATTCCGGCTACCTAATACGGTGTATCCTTGGTGACAGCAGGTAATGGCTCAAGTAATTACATTTCTAACACCCATCTGGGTTTCCCAGCTTGGATTCTTGGCCCCTACTTTGGCCTGGTTAACCCTTGCTGTCGTAGACTTTTGGGGCATGAACAAGCAGAAAGGAAATACTTCTCTCTCTCTCCCTTTCAAATAAACAAATACTTTAAATAGGAGTATTACCTCAATTAGTTGAACAGATGACAAAAGAGAGTAAATCTTTTTTCTGATATCATATATACAACTCTATAAAATATATGAATTCCATATTTAGATGTTTATCATTTATTCCTTTCATCCCTCAATTTCTTAATGAGATGAGGTTTTTTAAAATTCCTTATAATTGCTGTAATAACTATGGTTCACATATCCTTCTTTTCTCTAAAATCTGTCTACTAATAGAAACTCTATGCTTACTAAGTTCTGGGAGCTCTAAATGAATAAAAACCATCTCTGCAAATTTCTGAAGCTAACATATTAAAACCAAAATTCAAACAGATGTCAAAATTTTAGCTGTTTCTGTTGTGAGCAATTGTGATGTTTATTATTAATGACTCACATATTGCAGTGAAGTCAAATTAGAATTTTTCATTGTTCGTTCTCCTCAAATACATCGAGAACTAGGAATAATTGAATTTTTTAGTTGCAAAGATGCTCTCTTATTTATAACTGAAGCTACAGTGTATGGAAATCCAGTAGAGATAATTAATGGGATACAAAGGATTCTAAAGAAAGAAATTCAATAAAATGAAAATGTCATATGAAAGAAAAGGAACAATATGAAAGTGAAGAAAGCAGCCTAGCACACTGGAAGGAGTCAAGGGACCAGGGAGTCTTCAAAGGCTGACTAAGAGCTTGACCTTCCTGACCTCAGTGTAGCAGAGATGGCAAAAAACATTTCTTGGGCTTCAGAATGTATTGTACATTTAAGGAACACAAAATAAATTATTTAGACTGTTTCAATTGAGATTGCAAAATACCAGCCTGTCATAAACAGGTTTTTAAAAGCTTGATACTGCATAAATAATTTATAGTTTCTAAACCAGAAAAGTTCTACATTTGAAACTCTGCATTAAATAGAAGTCTGTCAACCACAGGGCCCTCATCTCCCTTCAGGAACTGACTGAGCTACTTTACAAAAGGGCACCATCATGAAGAAAGGAACATTATTTCATGTCTTAGTTTCTACGCAAATAAAAAACAAACATGAGATATTGAAGATGTGTATTTTAGCATTTTTAATCATATAAGAACAGTAAAACATACTACCTATATATTCTTAACAGGGTACTTTTTAAAAATTTAAGGGAAAAAACACATTATGAAAATCAATGCACCCAAAGAAACTTTTCCTCTAATTATATGACTCACAAACCTTTTGACCTACCCTTGTGTTTATCAGGTTAACTGAATACTAGATTATTGTTCTTCTTTCTCTCTGGGACAATGGGGTTAAATCCTCATTTATTCAAATTCCATCTCACTACATAGAATCCATAATGCAATGGAACTTAAATATGAAGAAAGAATTATAAACCTCTTGGAAATAAATCTGGGTACGCAGAATATTTCCAGATTTTCACAAGAATTTTGTCTTTTGGGGCCAGCCTCTTGATGTAAATACAGCAGCCTGCATGCCAGCATTCCATGTGCGCACCTGTTTGTGTCCTCGCTGCTCCACTTCTGAACCAGCTGCCAGCTAATTGCCTGGAAAATTCAGCAAGAGTTGATCCAAGTGTTGTGTCCCTTGCCACCCATTTGACAGGTACAGATGAAGTTTCTGCTCCTGGCTTTGACCTGGCCCTGCCCTTGCCATTGAGGTCATCAAGAAACTGAATCAGCAGATAGAAGATCAATCTTTCCCTATTACTCTGAGTTTCAAATAATTAACTTTTTTAAAAAGTTTATTTTTTTTTTTGTATTTTTGCCCATGAGTAATTTGACATAATTTCCTCATGACTTACATTTGTCCAGCATATCCATACCTTTCATCTTTAAAAAAAGTAAAAGAGAGATGTCTCATTATTTCTACATTCATGTTTTGTGGGTTCAGGTAACAATTCTTTTATGTTGTATGGTGCAAATAGCTGACAAATTAAGTTTGATATTGCACATAATTAATTGTTGGTAAGCAAACTGAACATCAGGATGCCTAGAGAGAGCTGAGATGAATTGGCATAACCATCGAAACTTATAAGTATCAGTTAAATTGTTTTTTTGCAAAGTCAATAGGAGAGCACTTGTTAATCTGGTGAGTCTTCAGTGGAGATCCAATAAGAATGCTTTCACAGTATAAGAAGGGAAAAGAAGCTTGAGAATGAGGGACTCTTTGTTCCTCCTTTTCTGATCCACAACATAGAATGTATTTGAGTTGTTTTATAGTGTTTTTGTTTACACAGTATGAGAGGATGCTTTGGAAAATTCATAAGACGGGCCCGGCGCGGTGGCGCAAGTGGTTAAAGGTCCTCGCCTTGCACGCCCAGGATCCCATATGGGCGCCGGTTCTAATCCCGGCAGCCCTGCTTCCCTTCCAGCTCCCTGCCTATGGCCTGGGAAAGCAGTCGAGGACAGCCCAAAGCTTTGGGACCCTGCACCCGCGTGGGAGACCCAGAAGAGGCTCCTGGCTTCGGATCGGCATAGTATCGGCCCGTTGCGCTCACTTGGGGAGTGAATCATCGGATGGAAGATCTTCCTCTGTCTCTCCTCTCTGTATATCTGCCTTTCCAATAAAAAAATAATAAAAATAAATCTTTTAAAAAAAAAGAAAATTCATAAGAATAGGAATTAGAAGGTAGGTTTATTTTGATACAAACAAATGTTGAAGCATATGCATAGTTTCTTTATAATATGCTTTTACCGTTAGTGTTTTTTTTTAGACCCTTGGTATGCATAGATGTCAAAAATTAGCTTCCCTTCTAATTCCATTTTCCACAAAGTTAGAAGGAATATTTTCTTCCAGTTTATCCTCATTTTAATGAAAGAGAGAGAGAGACTATTTTCCATCCACTGGTTTACTCCCCAAATGTTCCAGGCTGAACCATGAAACCCGGACTCAGTCTGGTCTCAACTTGAGCATCACCTGCTGCCTTCTAGTGTGGCTATAACAGAGTAAAAAGTAGACGTGGAGCTAGGACTCAAACCCATGAACTCCACCAAGGTTTGTGGGCTTCTCAAGAGCCCACCAAGGGCCCGTCCCTTCAGGTACTTGTTGAAATAGCATCATAGAATACCTATGTTGAAGACATTTCCAAATCCTGGAACTAATGAAAAGCACTGTCTGATTTCTTTTCTAAAGGAGCTGAAAGAAAATCACTTTCAGGATTTAGGAATTTGATACCTTGAAGCATCAACATTTTACCTACTGTCAAATAAACAATAACATTTGTAATGCATTTCTATGTGCTTTTCGCTGTGATAAATGTTTATGTGAACTACCTCATTCAACACAGAAGCATCATGATGATTCTTTTCTCATGTGAAAAAAAAATGACGCTTAGAGCAATCAGTATATGCTAACAGTTACATCGCAAATGAGGAAATCAGGATTTGAATTCAGTCTGATATCATAGTCAAAGATTTACAACTGTAGACCATGTCGCTAGGATTCTTTTCTATTGAACATCAAAGATCCTAACAACTCACAGGGTGTAATCAAGGCCTCTCAGACCAAGGCAATTCCTTCTGGCGACATTCACTCCATCCATACTCCAAGTGCTGTCATCATAGACGGACGGGAAACTTCTAAGACTTATTGGGAAGGGAAACAATCTGTGCTCCTTGGGAAGGAATTGAAATTTGGGATAACAAAAATTCTCTGTGACAATTTTTCTCTCTGAGGGAGACCTGTTTCTGATAATACTTGGTTCTTGTGATTTGGGGGATACTGATAATATCTAAATTTTCTACTAGCCTTCTAACTTTTTGTGCTGTAGGACCCAAAGTCAGGGTAAGGAGAATAGGAATAGAAAATAAGTTGCAATAAAAAATGGTCCCAGCTAGAGACCATTATGCTCAGTGAAATAAGCCAATCCCCAAAGGAGAAGTATCATATACTTTCACTGATATAATACAACCTTTATACAAAATATAAAATCAATAGACACATAGGTAAACACACATGTTTACTGAATAACAGAGACAGTCATAATGAGAAGTGAAGATGCAATGCAGTATGCAACTCTACTCCCTAATCACAGAGGGGCTCCCTATGAAACAGTTGAATGTATATTGACAATAAGATCCTGGACTTTCTGCCATTGTCTATGCCTACAATGTCAGGATACACTTAAATGGCAGAATGATGGACTTATGACTGTTTTTAAAAGGCTGTATTATTATAATGATATAGGGGAAATCCCTAAGCCTATCAAACTGTATCATAAAATTATTTAGTTGCTCTGTTTCTGGCCAGGTGCTTCCGTTACTCTGGCACCTCAACTCTTGGCTGACCCAGGACAGGTCCCATGTGATTCTCCGCAGGAGCTGCTAGCTTGAGTGGAGATGCTCTCAGTGGGAGAGAGTGCACTGGACCCCCAGGCTGCCATCCCGCACATTCACAGTAAGCTGGATTGGAAATGGAACAGCTGGGACTTGAACCTGTGCTCCAGAAAGAATGCTGGCTTCACATGTGGTGGCTTAATGCACAGTGCCACAACACTGACCTCAAAGAAATGTCTGTGAACCTATGAGTGACTTCCAAGAGGGTTCCGCTGCTGCCAAAGAACTTCAGCCTGTATTGCCTTCAAAAGGAGTTCCTTTATTTGATGAAGAGTCCCAGGAGAATGCAGTAGATGCAGCTAGAGATGGCGGATATACAGAGAGGAGAGACAGAGAGGAAGATCTTCCGTCCGATGATTCACTCCCCAAGTGAGCACAACGGCCGATGCAATGCCAATCCAAACCCAGAAGCCTCTTCCGGGTCTCCCACACGGGTGCAGGATCCCAAAGCTTTGGGCCGTCCTCGACTGCTTTCCCGGGCCACAGGCAGGGAGCTGGAAGGGAAGCGGGGCTGCCGGGATAGAACCGGCACCCATATGGGATCCTGGGCATGCTAGGCGAGGACCTTAACCACTTGCGCCACCGCGCCGGGCCCTAGGTAGTATTTTCAATTTCAAAAGAGAAACCAATTTAGAAATCAGTATGTGCCAAACCACATGCTTGGCATTGGGAGGAAGATGAAGCCCTCACCCTGGAGGTTCTGTGCTAGGGGCTGTGCCAGACAATAAACAGTGTATGCCATATAGGAAGGGTCTGGAAGAAGTCAGTGGGTCCTCATCCACCAGAATTTTAAGGAACTTCTTAAACTTGCCAATTTAACCCCGCAGGTGTCTTCTCTGAGTGTCACATGAGCTAGGCCTCTGAAAAGTGGTACTTTTTCAGGGTGGGATGGGGCAAATACTCCTAAGCCAATTTAAAGGGTGAATCATTTAAACTCTCTCTTCTACATTGCCTATTCATCCCAAATCCCTCCTACAAAAATCTTGGCGTCGTCCCTGATTTCATGGTAATTCCTACCAAATAGAGTGAATGAATGATCAAAGATGGTCAGAAAGGATACTGAGGCTCTAGAGGAAGTGGACACACTTTTAAGTAAGTAGCCATAAGAAGCATTCTGCCCCTTTCCTAGCTGGCTCTGGTGAAAGAGCATCTCTTGGATTTCAACTCAAGAGGAGGCAGAGTTCTGGCTACCAGATTCCGACTAGCCATTCTGAATACTCCAAGAAGCCAGGCCTTGTGACTTCCATGGGAAGCTTTGCCTCCTTCCCCCCACTACAATGGTCTGCTAGTGTCCTGGGGCCACCTGGGCTTGTGATCCTCAGCCTGCCTTGCGGATAGAGGGGATCTGGTGAGAACAGCTGTCTTTCCTGCAGGAGAAGGGCAGCAGTGACTGTGAGAAAAAGGTGCCCAAGTTCAGAGCAGCAGAGACCAACAAAGGCTGTGTAATGAAGATGTCATCAGTAAAGGGCGGGGCAGAAGGCAAGGTTACTAAGGAACAGGTGCCAAGGGACTCTCATATGCTTCACACCTTTGAATAAGGTGGATTGCTTTTCCCTTGGTAGTTTGATCTACTGCTTACAAAAAACCCTGACCCCTCCCCGCCCGCTACCAAAATGAGCCTTTGGCTTATACTGCTGTTGCAGTTAGTACAGGCAACACCTCCTCAGGAGTGGGACCAGAACTTGGTCCAGCTGACTCCTGAGGCCTGGTCTACCCAATCTATGGGTAGACTAGATGAGTTGCTCAGTGCGCTGACAACTGAAACAGACCCCAGTGGCTTTGATGACCTGGGGTCTACAAATGTTCTAGATGACAATGTCGTCTATCCTGGTGGCTTCCCGATGGAATTAGAGGAACACCCAGGTGAGCTCCTGGAGCCCTTTGATGGGGCAGAACCATCTGAACTTCAGCCAGAGGACATACCTCAAAGCCCCGAGACTCTTGAGGAGGGCCAGCCTTCGTTGCTCCAAAAAGAAGGCCTAGCCCAGGTTCCACAGCCTCTCAAGGAGACTACACCTTCTCCAATGCTGCAGGGGTCTCCAATTCAGATCTCTGCTGCTGAAGAAGCTGTCCGGCAGCTTGTTCAAAACGAGATCAGTGTTCCACGTCCACCGCTGCAATCTACTTTGCCAAGCATCACAGGGAGGCCAGCGGATGTGATGCTCACAATTACGCTACAGCCAGGTGGTGAAGTTCAAAGTACTCTGGGCCAGCTGCAGGCCCCAGTTCAGCCTGCAGGGATCTCGCAAGGGGAATCCCCTCCCTCAATCCCACAAGAGGCTCCAGCTCAGACTCCAGGCCCTTCTGTAGACCTAGAGCCTTTCCCGAGTAATCAAGAGGAGTCTGCTCAGTATGCTGAGCCTTCAGTGGAGGTGGAACCTCTAGGCCAGCAGGTGGCCCCAATTCCTCCCGCTCCAGGCCCATCTGTGGGAACAGAATCTCTTCCAGGCCACCAGGTGACCCCAGTTCAGAGTGCACGTCCTTCTGTGGAGGTCACATCTCCTCCCACCCAGCTGGAACAGCCAACTCAGGATGCTGAGCCTTCGTTGGAGGCAGAACCTTCTCCAGGCCAGCAGGAACAGTTTGCTCAGCCATCCGAGTCCATTGGACCTGCTGAATCTCCTAAAGGCCAGCCTGAGGAGAACACAGTTCAGCCTCCAGAGCACCAGGAGGAAATATTCGTAGCTTCAGCTCGCCACCACTGGCAACAACACATGGACTTACCCAGTATGGCTGCTAAACCTGCACATGTGCAGAATACAATGCAAGCAGATACAGAAGATGGCTTGCCAATAAAGCACAATGCTGAAGCTCAGCCTGAGGCCCCAGCTGCGCCTCCAGAAGCTTTTGAAGAGGTTGAGTCTATTTCTTCGCCGGAGGTGGTACCTCAGGAAGAGGAACCCTCATCTGAGGAAATCAGACTGTCTCCAGCCCAGCAGGAAGCTCCAGCTCCGGTGTCAGAGACCAAAGAAGTGAAATCTCCACCTGCAGAGTCTCATGAGGCGACAGTTCCTCCTGAAGGTCAGTCTCCAACATTGCCGAGTGTGTCTGTTAACCCTGCAGAGACCATGACCGAGGCTATAACTTTCAAGCCAACAGGAAGTTGCAGCTCAGGCCTCGGGGAACAATGAGCTGGACCTGACACTCCTGAAAGGAGGTGACCACTCAACAGTTTCCACAAGTATGGATAAGTCAGTAGATCCTGAGGTCACCTTCACTTCACCTTCAGAGGTTGAGCCTTACCCAGCCTTACCTTCTGCAGCTGAGCCAGAGGCCATGGATGAGACTGCAGCTTCCCCTAAGGAGATAGAGCCTATCCCTACAGAATGGGAATCTCCAGCTGAACCCCTGGAGGCCCTTCCGATCACCCTTCCGTCTCCACCACGGCTGAAAGTGTCCGCTCAACATCCGGAAATGACTGTGGGTTCCAAAAGCCAACCCCAAGTATATTACCTGACTCCATCTCCTACTACAGAGGGTGTCATTTCTTCGGAGCCCCTAACCCAACCTCGAGAGCCACTTCAAGAATCTGTAGATGAGGAGGCAACGGTCCCCAAACCAGCTCAGGAACAGGCTCCGTATCTAATATTACCCAGGGTCACCTTTCAGCCTTTGAAGCTGCAGCTGACTATAACTCCAGGACCCAGTGTGGAGGCTGAACATTCTACAGCCCTGAAGACCACAACAACTCTGGACTCTGAGATTTCACATCCAGACCAGGTCCAGACTCACCATGCAGCCCTGCCCAAGGTCACAGTTGCACATTGGGACCTGGGAAATACCCCAACTCCAGAACTCAATATAGAGGTTGACCAGGCTCCAACCACTCAGGAGACCCCTGTGCAGCTTACAGAGCCATCTACAGAGGTGGGAGCTCAACCTCCAGTGTTGCAAGAGGTGGCCGTTCCAACGCCAGCTCCACCTCAACCTCCAGTGACACCCAGTGTCACAGATCAGACCTTGAACCTACCACCTACACCTACCAATGGTCCAGAACCCACTGCAGAGGCTGAGCATGCAACCGCCCTGAAAGAACCTACAGGAACGAGTCCAGATGCAATTCTGACTCAGCATCTAAACCCGAGTCCTGCTGTGGAGGTCGAACATTCTACAGCCCCGAGGAATGCCAAAACACCACCTCCAGGTGTCCCTGAGGTGACACTTCCACAGGCAGAGCTGGTTCAGGCGCAGCATCCAAACCTGACTGAAGTCACAGTTCAGGCGTTTGATATTCAGCTGGCTTTTCAATCCAGAATTGCGGAAGTTGAATCATCTCCAGCCCTGCAGAAGACCTCAGCTCAGCCTCCAGAGCCTCCATTGGAGGTTGTAGCTCCAATTCAGCATATAGTGCCAGTCAGTGTCACAGTTGAAGCTGTGAAGACAGAAATTTTCAAAATCCCAGAACCCACCACGTTGGCTGAACAGTCTACAGCCCTGGAGACTACATCAGCAGCACCTCCAAGGCATTCTGAGGTGCCACCTACATATACAGACCGGAGCCAGACTCAACAAGTCACAGGCAATCCTCTCAATTTATCTACAGAGGTCAAGCCTACAACTATTTCGGTTACTCTAACTCGGCCACCAGAGCCAACTAGTGATATAGTAACTGTAGCAACATCAACCCGAGTCACGGGTCAACCTTCAGATTCCCGAGTCATGGGTCAGCCTTCAGATTCCTGAGTCACGGGTCAGCCTTCAGATTCCCGAGTTACGGGTCAGCCTTCAGATTCCCGAGTCACGGGTCAGCCTTCAGATTCCCGAGTCACCGGTCTGCCTTCAGAGTTGGAGCCTATCAAAGCTCCAGTCCCTGCTCCAGAGGTTGGCCCTTCTAAAATCCTGAAGACTACAGCTCCACCTCCAGGGCAGTTTCCAACTTTGTATCCTGAAGTCAAGGCTGCTGAGTATGCTACCCGGCTAACTACTTTCATTGAGTCAAAAGAAAGCACCCCCAACAGCACGGACATCTGCGAGCTCTGTACCTGCAAAAATGGAATGCTGTCATGTACCAATCTCAGCCCGTGGCAGAAGCTCCACCAAGTGCCTGTGCCAGGATCCTTCAGTGCCCACAATGACACCTTCACCATCTTAAATTTCCAAGGAAACGCTATATCCTACATTGACAAAAATGTATGGAAAGCATATTGCTGGGCTGAGACTTTGATTCTCAGTGAAAATTATTTGACTGAATTACATAAGGATTCATTTGAAGGCCTGCTATCCCTGCAGCACTTAAATCTTGGTTGCAATTTACTCGCAGAAGTGAGTTTTGGCACATTTCAGGTACGGCATGGAATGCATTTTTTGCATGTGATAAATCTTGATCAGAATCCATTGACAACTGTCGAAGATCCCTATCTTTTTAATTTGCCAGCATTAAAATATCTAGACCTCGGAAGAACACTGGTGTCAATCAGCACAGTTGAGAACATCCTCATGAAGTCTCTCGAACTGGAAAAACTGATCTTACCGAACTCCATGGCCTGCTGCCTCTGCCAATTTAAAAAGGATATTGAGGCTGTCTGCAAGACAGTCAAGCTGCACTGTCGCAGTGAGTGTCTGAGAAACAATCTTGTGTACCAGAACCAACGACGGGGAATCCCAAAGCGGAATTCCTGAAGATACTGCAGGCCCGGAAGAGGAACACTAGCACGAAATTAATTATTGAATCAGAGAATTCAGAGAAACATAAGTTTGGCATTCTAGACTCTACAAGTGAGCGACTAGACTTAAATGAAAAAGATGTTATCAGTTCACTAAATTACGTATTGCCTTATTTCTCAGGCAGCAGTGTAGAAGACATAGAGTCGGTGTTACTACCCTACATTAAATTGTTCTTTTCCAGTCCACAAGAAGATAGATCTGTGGATCACTTGAAAACCAGTCCAAAAGACTTCTCTTTAAAATCTAATGAACGTAAAATGAGAAAGATCCACTTTCTGAAAAATTTGATAAACTACAATATTGAACAAAAAATTCATGAGATTAAAAAAACACAAAAAGCTGCCATGCTGATGCAGCAGGAGACAATCAGGAGGAGAGAGAACGCGCGCCCCCTTGTGGAGGGCACCGTGCAAGGCCGGCTGAGAGCGCAGGAGCCGAGGAGCAGGAGGAGCTTCATGTGGCCCAGAGGCCCTGGCACCTGGTGGCCAACTCCTTCTACCCAGAGCCCCCACTCACAGAGGAGCACAATGCCAGGGACGCCTCTTCCCTGAAGAGGTACATCGTGGGCAGGCCGTCTGCTGCAGCCCGTGCAAAGTCTCTCTCTGAGCCAGAAAAAACGTTGAATATTTTAAAAATAGCAAAAATTAGGACAAAAAAGACAGAGGCAGCAGAACCAAGTTTATATGATGGAGTGAATTACCGCTTAATTGATCCTCATGCTGTCTTTAGAACGTCTAAGACCAAAGTGGGAGCAGAACCAGAGTCCAGAGGGAATTACCACCTGAATAATATTGATCTCTCTCCAGTGTTCAAAACCAAACGGAGACTGAAGATGAAAAGGAAAAATCCCATCAACACATGGAGCTCTGTAAAGAGGCCTGCGTTCCTCGCCCTACAAAGTCTCATTGATTCCCCTCCCCAAGAGCCTTCTCCCTCTTCTGGAGACTCGAGTTGTCAGGATTTTCCTTCTCGGAAAGTGATAGCTCTTCCAGTACCACATGCAGAAGACATTCTTGAAGCCAGCCTTGCTGCAGCAAATAACTTAGGAAACACTGTGCCAGAAGAATCTCCCCCTGCCAGCACAGCCCAGGGGCATCCATTGGCCACTGGTTCCCCTGAGATTGCCCCCACTGAGAAAATGCAATGGGGGAACCCTAACATGGGCAGGGACATCCCCTCCATGCCTACAGGCATTACTTACCCCTTGCAGTCATCCCCAGGGGACCAACTGAACCAGCAGCTTCGGTCCCTCATCCCCAATAATGACGTGAGAAAGTTCATTTTAATAGTTATCAGGACTCTGCAGATGGACTGTGCGGACCCCCAGGTGCAGCTGTCCTGTGCCAAGCTCATCTCCAGAACCGGCTTCCTCATGAAGCTCCTCAGTGAGCAGCAGCAACAAGTGAAGGCGGCCAAGGCAGAATGGGACACAGACGGCTGGAAAGAAGAGGACTACATCAGCGAGAGCCCAGGAGGCCAGACTGATGCAGGAATGATCGAGCCAAGTGAGCTCAAAGAAGTCCCAAGATACAGCCTTAACAAAATACTCATCATGGCAATATCTGTCACTGTAGCTGTGATGATCTTAATAACGGGAGCCTGTCTCGTTGGGATTTACTCTCACAGGGCAAGAGCCGACGCCGAGGAGGAGGACATAGGAAAAGGTCTAAGCGACCTTTACGAAGATTCCCTCAAGCAAAGACGCGAGAAGAAGCAGGTGGGCTTCTTGGTGAGGTGGCTGCGCTGGCTGAAGGGGTGAGCGCAAACCCCGCCGGGCAATGAGCCAGAAGGAACTGGCTCAAAGGTTGTATGATGAAACCTCTGACGAGGAAGCAATCTTCGTGAGAGGGGCAAGCATGAGCGAAGGCCCGGGCGAGATGGCGGCCGCTGAGTCGACTGCCGAAGGAGAAAGCGAAGCCCCTGAGGAGGTGCTCACCGAGTAAGCCCTTTTGCTGGGGCTGCCTCCATTTATAAAAGCACTTCCCTTCTAAAAATAAAATAAAATAAAATAAAATAATTTAGTTTATTAACAAAAAAGAAAATGAGTTCTGATTATCTAACAGTTATGTTTTTAATATATTTACTGCTAGGCTTTTGTGAGTACTATTATTTTCCCATTATCATTCAAACAAAGTCTTTTTGTGTCATCTCTCCCCCATCCTCAATCCCTGACATTTGCTCTCACTCAAATAAATCTACCAAGAATATACCCAGTCCCTTCCCAGGCAGATTTTTCCAACCGTGCTAGCTCACTGTGGTCACTCTTGGCTGTGAATTCTTACAGAAGCGATTGCCTCCATCTCATTTCCTGTTGCCAATTATTTTTCATACACTTTTGACTTATCTCTACTTATACAGAGATTATGAATTGTTCAAAAGCTGCACTATGTCTCATACGTCTCATCACCGTCAGTATCTTTCTTTTGAGAGACCCTCAGCCAGAATATATTGATTGTCTTCTTAAAAGAAACATAGCCACAGCACAGTCAGAAATCAATTGGCCTTACAATCTTCTTCCTGCTGCAGCCTGAATACCAAGGAGGAATAAAAGTCAGCTATTCCAGTTGTGTTGAAACAGATGAGGACACGGGAGATTTCTTACCTGGAGGATTTAGGATTTCATACTGAAGCTTGTTGAAATGAATTTGAGTTATGTCATTCTTAACATCAACCAACCAAAAATGAATAAACTGAAGAAATAGGTTTGGCTATCCCCCAATGTGTTATTGCTAGGGACTCTTTAGTATAATGTGGATTAGGACATGTGACCTACATGTAGTGTAGCAGTGAAAACACTCACACCACTGAAGAATCAGACCTATTATATATTTTTCTGTTAAAAGAAAAAACATCTGGGCCCTCCATGGTAGCCTAGTGGCCAAAGTCCTTGCCTTGCATGTGCCAGGATCCCATATGTGCACTGGTTCATATCCTGGCTGCTCCACTTCCCTTCCCAGGCTAGTAGTGACCTGGGAAAGCAATCAAGGATGGCCCAAAGCCTCGGGACCCTGCATCCATGGTGGAGACCCAGAAGAGGCTCCTGGCTTTGGATGGGGTCAGCTCAGGCCATTGTGGTCACTTCTGGAGTGAACCAGTGAATGGAATGTCTTTCTCTCTGTCTCTCTCCTTCTGTCTACAAATCTGACTTTTCAATAAAAATAAATAAATCTTTTAAAAGGTGCTGATTAGCAAAAACTTAAATGGGTCTCATTGCTTATATTGACTCTCATTAAGCAAATGACCAATGCTCAACAACATGCTATTTTATTTTCATCTCATAAGACTTGACTCATTATGGCTTTCTCTAAGATTTGAGGACACCGCTTAGAATCTGTGTAGCATTGCTTTAAAAAATGAATTAATGGGATGCTGGACTGTCTGACATTGTCTGTACCAGCAATGTCGGGGTAAACTTAAATAAGACTGATGGAATTATGATTCCTTATGAAGAACTATACCACTGTAGTAAAATGGAGCAAATCTGTCAGGGGGTGGGAGTTTGGGGGAAAAATCCCAGTCTATATGAAATTGTAGCACGTAATTAAAAAATTCAAAATAAAAATATATTAAAAATTGACTATTATAATATCTTCTTCTATTTAAATATCTTAGAGCAGAACCAAACCAACAAAGTATGCTATATGTACCCTCTTCTCTCATCTAACATTTTGATATTTGAACCAAAGATACAATCTTAAAAATTATTTTTGAAAGTAATTGACATCATTAAGCCATGCTAGAAGGTCTGAGGCATGGCAAAGTTAACATGCACAAAGCTGAACAAAGATTGTCTCCTACTGTTGTAGGGTTTTTGATCCCGAGTACAGCAGCAACCTCAATTCTTGTCTCACAGAAAGAAGAATTTTCATGCGGACACAGTTTAGTTTTAAAGCAAGTTTTATTGGAAAAGCTGAGAAGAGGAGCTCCTGTCCTAGTATGTGAGGGGGATTCTAGAGAGAAAGAACCCTTACCTCCTGCCATGGGGCAAGAGGAGGAGAGAAAAAGATGCTAGACCTCTGCCATAGTGGCAGCAGGAGGAAAGAAAGAAAAACAACCCGAATTAATGGTGGGGAAAGTGTCTTAACAGTTCACCCCAAAGGGGTTTCTCCATAAACAAAGGAAAATTCCTGTTTTCCAAGGTACGTGGCCCTGGGACAAAAGGCCCCAAAGTTATTATCAGCCAACTCGTCAGTCCCTTTTTAACAAATAAAGAGACCACTCTGAAACTACCTCCTTCCAATGGCCAGAGACGGAACTGGGCTGGGGCTTTAGGTGGGGAACTTGATATATCAATACACCCTGCCTCTTGGGAAAGCATGTTCTTTTTTTAAAAAAAAAAAAAAGATTTATTTATTTTTATTGGAAAGGCAGATATACAGAGAGGAGGAGAGACAGAAAGGAAGATCTCCCGTCTGATGGTTCGCTCCCCTAGTGCCTGCATCAGCTGGAGCTGAGCCAATGCAAAGCCAGGAGCTCTTCCGGGTCTCCCACATGGATGCAGGATCCCAAGGCTTTGGGCCATCCCCGACTGCTTTCCCAGGCCACAAGCAGGGAGCTGGATGGGAAGCGGGGCTGCCGGGATTAGAACCGGCGCCCACAGAGGATCCTGGCGTGCAAGTTGAGAACTTTAACCCCTATGCTATCTCGCCGGGCCCAGCATGTTCTTGATATATTAAAATATGCACTTGTCTCTTGGGAGAAACGAGCTCTGGTTAATCCAAGACGTGGTGGAGAGAATACTCTTTTATATTTGAGAAAAAATGATGACTCAGGGACCCAGAATACCCTAACTGCCTATTACCCAGTCTAACTCCTCTCACACTACCACCTCCGTTTGTTATCGTTCTGATCCAAAGCATTGTTTTCTGTTTATTCTGATGGCCTATATAAATGTATAGTTCTAAAAGGTGGATTATAAGACTTACACCAAAACCCAACAGTCTGCTATTCCTACCACTGTCGCAAAAAATGCAAACTGTTTTCAATTGGTTTTCTTTTCTCGCTAGTGTTAGTGTTTGTCACAATATTTTAAAATTACTATGCTTGTATTTCTACTTCTTTGCTTTACTTTGGAGACCTATTTACTCATTTAAGAAAATCATTTCAATCCTTATAGTGCACACTATCTCATACACACATATCACTCCCTATGCCCATTAATAATTATTGAATGGTTGCTCATAAAATAAACACTCGGTGCTTATGCTATTGTGATTTTTTAAAATCTCATTCACAGCAGAGTCATATTGTAAACTATAATAACATTTCCATTTCATGTCAATTATCTTATCGATGCATGCTTTTCATTGATTCAACTCTAAGTTCTTAGCCAGAAGTAGAAATGTGCCTTCAACAGATTCAGACACATCAGATAATCTCTGCATTTCCTCATCTTCCAGAGAGAAATAACTCCAGGAGCCTTTTATTCAGCATCTTTTTTAGACTGCTCTCTAGGCCAATAGCACATTTGTCTGAAATCCATTGGCTTCCTGTCAGTTTCATCCTCAGAATTCTCTTGTCCTCTTAGAAAAGTTGAAACTCTTGTTTAGATTCCATGACAAAGATTCTATACCAGCTTATTGATTTAATGCTCCTTTGTTTTGGTAAAAATTTCCTGCTTAACCTCTAAGCAAGAATACTTGAGACATCTAACGTCAAAAATACCAGTTCCAGTAACAGTTAAGGTCCTCGCCGTGAACGCTCTGGGATCCCATATGGTTGCCGGTTCTAATCCCAGCAGCTCCACTTCCCATCCAACTCCCTGCCTGTGGCCCGGGAAAGCAGTAGAGGACAGCCCAAAGCTTTGGGACCCTGCACCCACGTGGGAGACCTGGAAGAAGTTCCTGGTTCCTGGCTTTGGATTGGTGCAGCACCAGCTGTTGCAGCCACTAGGGGAGTGAATCATCGGACAGATCTTCCTCTCTTTCTCTCCTCCTCTCTGTACATCTGCCTTTCCAATAAAATAAATGAATCTTTTTAAAAGAACTAGTTCCATCTTCACACCTTCCTCGTGGTTTGGCTTAACATAGAATTCCAAGAAATGCTCTACCTTTATTTTCTAGAAAATTCTGCTCCTTTTTTTCAAGAATTCCTCTTATTCTTAAAGCTTCGTTGATTTCTAACTTCTTTTTCTAGTTCAATAGATGCCACCTCTTCTGTGGAATTTATTAGATCCTCTTCCTATTGCAGGCACACAGAGTTCTCTCTTGTACCCCATGAAGTCAGCATGGCTGGAGGTTTATTTTGGCCAAATAATTTGAGAAAAAATGAGTTTCACTATCTCTGGATGGAGGTATTTAAATGCTATTCTCAATCCCCAGCCTTCCCTCCTTCTCTTAGTGATAGTAGTTGCATGGATTGATGTGAATTCAGCTTGGAATACTGAGCCCATATGGAGAATAGCTCAGGAGAGTCATTGGAAATGAAATAACTTTAATGAGAAACCCAGGCTTGGGAGTTGTTCTGTAACATAAACTATGTAATCTTGGTGCACTTGACTACTGGTCCTACAGTGAAACATTTAAAAAATCAACAGGACACAGGTGGCACTGTCTTAAAGGCTGACAACCAGTGCTGAGGAAACCCATACCAGAAGATGCAAAGGCGGTTTTCCTGCTGCAGGTTTCTGCAAACTACATGGTACAACTGTGAACAGGAAGACAGACCGTAATATTAATCACCTTGTTCTTTCCAAGTTAGAAGTGGAAAGCATAAAATTAAATTCTGCACTGAGTTTCTGGAGGTATGACACAAGAAATAGATGGGATCAGGAAAGAACTGTTCAGTCTTTACGTGGGAATGAAAAGGATGGATATAAGTGAGTTCAGAGATTTGAAGATATGTTAGAAAGAAGAGGCAGTTCAATTCTAAATGCAAGCAGAAAAAGATAGAAATGAGAAGGTCTTAAAACAAAGGAAATTGATTAAAACTCTGTCTATATTGCATGAGTTTTGTTGTTTTCTGTTACTTTCATCTCTTCAAAACACT